AGCCAAGAAACAACAAACACAGCGGAAATACCAAGCTCACACATCAATGATTTCTGCTATCAAAGCCAATGTATACAGATTTTAGCAAAGAAAGAAGAGTTGAAAATAAACGTTATTTACCATTTTTTTCCATATTGACCACGAATAAGTTCCCCCTGCTGAGTGCACTGCTAACCAGAACTATTACTGTACTCCTATGAAATGGAAGACAACCAACCAACACTCAGAAAGCTGTTCTGACTGGATACTGCAAGTACCTTCATGCTCATGTGAATTAATTTTAAGCCACAGCACATGCTATCTTACAAATAAGGGTGGTTCTGTGTTTCTCTTAGTGAGGAAAATGCCTCCAAACAAAGGCTGACTGGGGGAGAGGGCAGGGGAACGCAGAAGAACCACGCTTTTCATTTGTTTTTCAAACAATCATTCCACTGTTCCAGCATCCCTTCTGTTGAATGAGCTGCAAGATTTACCCTTCCCAGCAGCAGCCACTCAATTACAGTGCACTGCACAATATTTCTGTTGTTCAAATTCATTAGGGGGAGTCTGGAATGCTAACATTTCGTCTCACATGTATAAAGGAGATTCCAGAAGAAAAAGGATAAAAGCATTCAGAAGCGAAATGGCATATCCTCTTGACTTGCAATTATAAGACTTTCTAGTTCAAAGTACCAAAGCAGTTTTTAATCATCAGTCGAATCTATTACAGGTAAGGAAAACAGTGCTCTAGATGACACTGCCCATCACAGCAGCAGTAATGGGACAAGTACAGAGAACGTTAGCAGACAAAGCTCCATAGTTTGCAGAGGCAACCCAGAAACTAAATGAAGAGATAAGATGTATTACCACGCAGGGATCATACGCTGGATCATTCTATCACAAGTCCAAGAAGAAAGACAATAGAAATACAAACACTCATGCACTGTTCTGCAGCTGCACACAGTTCCAGAATCATCCAAACTATCCTAACATATAACAAAAGTGAACTTTCAAGCTTGAAAAATGAAGGAAATTAGTGATTTAGCTTTCAGTTTCAATCTCAGTAGCAACAGAGACACCAAACTATTGCAAACATGGTTAGTTTTCTAACATTAACAGTACTTATTCATCCAAACTAAAATTCATCATCTTACCTGTATCGCACATGGAAAGACTGATCTTCTCGCATGCTTATCAAAACATTACTTTCCTCCATTGAGCTGCATTATCAGTAGAGAAAACACTACTGTTCTGTAGCAAGGCGAGTAGTTTGCTACGGAGAATTGTTGTCAGAACACCATTCCAGTTAGTAGGTTAATAAATTGGCATACAGGTATCCTAAGCTGCTGTCGAAATACTCTTCTTTGTTACTAAGGTAAGCAAGTCACTGCCAGACACATCTTAAACTTTCAGAAATGTGTTCAAGTTCTTTCATCTGTGGCCCTTTCAGCTCCATTCAGCTGCATTCCTGCAAAGGGAACACAAGACGCTTGGCTTGAAGTCTCATAACATCCCGTTCATAACTCACAACCATTTGTAGCTGATATAAAAGCATAGCACTACTCCGACCAAGCAGGAAATGTCAATCAAGAATGTAAAGCCAGAGCCAAAACATTCATATATACACAGCAATTCCCATAGGCAAGCAAGAAAGCAAGAAAGTTTTATAAAAAAACAATGCTCTTCTCTGTTGGAAAGTTCAAGTAATTTATCCTTGTTAGTTTTTTGGGGGTTTTTTTTGCCTCATGAAGTTCCATGCAAAAAGAATAAAGAATGAAAGCTATAGAATAAAAGCTGTAACATAAAACCGATTCCAAACTGCTTTACAAGTGAACAGCTGCCAGAACTGGCTGACACAATCCCACCTGGAGAGGCTCATTCTGGAAACCACCCCTCTGAACATCAGGAGCACAGAAGCCAGCAGAGGTTCAAGCTCTACTCCCTTTCCCTTCCTCTCCCAAAAGGAAAAGGATATTTTTGTTTTGCCTTCTTATTTTTTATGGTTACATATTCTGAAATGCTGCAGTTGCTGCATGAGCACCAAACTCTGCTTCAAAGGGACTGCAGCAGCTACTGCTCAGAAGTTCGACCTGTTTAGGCTGGCAGGGAAAACAATTTACCAAAAAGAAACTATTCAGAAGTTTACCCACTTTTAAGTATATTTTTAGCAGAGGAGTTGATGTATTTATTGCTTAGCACTAACACTACCTTCCTTTGAAAGTAAACATACAGTTGTGTAATTCACAAATGCATATTTCATCAAGAGCTTGCAGAAATGTCACAAGAACAGAACTCAGACAAAATTGTCAACAGAACTCACCAATTCTTAATTGTCTAGATTCTACATTCTTAATTGTCAAGGAAGGCAATGCCTTCTCATTAGTTTCATCAATTACCAGGTACGAATATTCATGCTTCTCACCACCCTCCTCTCTGACAGCATCTTTCAAAGAGACTGTTCACAGTGTTCTTCCAGTCAAACAACTACTTTGCCCTCCCACGCTCAGCACCAGAGTTATTTGGCATCAACAAGTGGGTGTGGGTATACTTTAGCAATTACAAAGCATGATACATACATTTTTAAATACCATTACAACCCACACACTGAGAAGACCACATGACAGGTATTTGCTCTGCACAGATTTGCACAAAGCTCAAGTCAGGCAACTCCTGCAAGCAGCCAGCTGTAAGTGGCCCTGCCTGCACTCATCGCCCCAGAGCAGTGCTGGTGTTCAACTACAAGGGGACCAAAAGTTACTGATATGCTTCACATCACATGTCAACAACTTGATTTAACTGGGCTCCATGTCCATCTCGTATGTCATCTCAGGTGGGTGCCACCTCCCTGCTGCTGGAAGCCCTGCTGCCCCCTCCTGCTGACTGCATGGCACATGGCTGACTTTGATGCTGGCTCTTGATGCGGGCACAATGGCCCACGTCCAACTAAAGGCACATTGATCAGAGTGATTAATTAAAAATGAAGGTGGTAGATATCCATGACGACTCTTGCAGACACTACCTCCTCAAATCAGAAGATTCCAGCAGCATCCTTGGCTCCTTCCCTCATCTCACCATCTCCCTTGACCATATTTCCATTTTGGAGACTGTCAGATGATTGATGATCAAAAATCATTTCTGTGCTCATCAGCAGCTACAGGCCTCCTCGCAGCCACAGGCTGACCAGTCACTGGGGGCTGGCTGCCGGAACACACCCAGCCCAGCTTGTCCTGCCTTACCTTATAGGAGGCAACAAACCAAGGCCTTCTCTGCCCATCTGCTATTTTTCACAGACCTACAGAAGCATCTGCCAAATGACATCATCAAAGGCTGAGGGATTCGGAATTGACATGGTGGAAGTATAAATTGAGACAGACCAACCACACACATACTATTTCCTTACAAAAATTAGCTACAGAGAGTGGTTGCTTCAAGATTACAGCAATTTTTCCAGTGTTGAACTAAGTCTGAATTTTCTTTCAGGGAGTGGCTACAGCATAAGTGAAAAAACAGGAAAAGAATCTTGCAGTGGATTACCTGAAAACAAAGCAGAGCTTTGTGTACCATGTGAAGAAAAAGACAGACCGAGGACAAAAAAAAATACAGCAATGGTTCTGCTACTGAAATACAGAGGTTAGCTTGACTCCTTGAGACCTTGAAAGTGTAAATCCACATATAAACATCAACAGTGAGTCTAGAGGTACTGAACCACAACTGAAACCACACAAACCACAATTTTAGTCTTTAATGATGTCCAGGGATATTTTTAAAATTCACCTAAATTAACACAGAAGCCTGAGATAAGTCCCTCCAAATTTAATTAATTCTACTTCAAATTTAACCTTGCATTCGCACAGAAAACAGACAGCCAAAAGCATTTGTGCAGTAATAACCATTCCCCTCTGAACATTCCTTAACATAGCAGTGTGACATGTTGGGAAGCAGCTGTTTTCTCCAGACCTTGGCATGACACAGCACAAGTGCTGAGCCACGAGGGGGACGTGCAGGTGAACAAACGCCAAACAAGGACAAGCGGTGAGGTGACTCTTGGAACCTTACGGACATGCTCTGCTCTGCACCACGTCTGACAGTTCAGCGGCTGATTAGCTGGTGCCACACAGAAACCCCCTTACTGACAAAGTGACTTTGAGGTTTTATTCATGGCCAACAGTGGATGCAGAGCAATTCCTGCTCTGGAATATCTTCTTTCCTCCAGATGGCTTTACACATAGCGCAGATACCCTCACAATCAACCGCAGGGCTCCCAACACACGCAGCGTTCAGCGTAACACCAAATGCAGCCCCTGCCAGACACGGGTGGGCTGCACCCAGAGGGCAGAGCAGGACAGTGGGGGTCTGTAACTATATGGGCCTCTACCTAGGAGCGTGCCTGATAGAGCAGATTCTGCACAGTTTGTCTTTACCCAGTGCATGGGGAAGGCCCAGCCTATGCTATCATACTCACCAGACAAGCTGTAAGTAAATACATTAATACTAGCATCTAATGTGCCTGATCCAGATGCTTCCTCTTCCACCCCAGATCTATCTGCTGACTGACAAACATCAGACCACATGAAACTAAATCACATCACTGAATATTGCAGAAAGTCACCAAGTGGGTGGAAAAAGGGTACTGCATCAGCTTTGGGCCACATGTGACACCCATTCAACAGAACAGGAACCCTACCAACCCACTCAGCACAAGCCTAAGATTTCACTTTAGCATGTTAACAGAAAGCAGCACACAATGCTTCCTCCCCCGTTCCCAGAACTATTTTTGCATAGGAAATCATCTGCTCCTCATCGGAGAACCAAAATAATGCTAAGAGGTATTTCATGGCTAGGACTGAATGACCCATGGCTAACCACCTTGTATGAATCAAAAGAACAGGATTACAATAGGGAGGCTTAGAACTTTGACTCCTTGATCTATAAAATGATTTCATCTTCTGCCCCCAGCCTGTTCCTAGTGCTACATTACCGTAAAGGACAAAAAGGGCTTTTGTCCACACACTTAACTCAGCATGGCTGCAGGGGGAGAAAGTCGCAGCGATAACCAAGAACCAGGATACCCAGGACAGCCCAAAGTAGGACTGGAAAACAGCTTTACTGAAAACACTGAGTATCGGTAGGAAAAATAAATAACAAATATTCCATAAAAAATCTACAATTACTTTACAAGACTAAATAATAATTGATTCTATTAATGCACAATTTTATTTTTAACAAGCTCAAAAAATATCCAAGCAAGAAGATCCTCCTAACTCTCAAGACAGTACAAACCAACCAAACAAAAAACAACAGGTAGCGAGCGTGTCTGAGACAAAGCTTGCTCACAATGCAGTGGGGATCACACTGCACCCTCAGCTGAAAATGAAAGCATGGACACAGCTCCAGAGCAGAGTCCAACATCGATTATGTAACTGCTAACACAGTGCTGCATTATGACAAACACGGTAACAGTGGAGACACTTAATTTGCTGCCCTATTTCTAAACAAGCTTGATCTAATTTTTACATTCTTTGGTTACCTAAACACAACTGACCGTGCTGTGCAGTGCGTTCCAATCCAAGGCAGAGGAAGCTTGGTTCTTCCAGGCCCTCTCATGGACAACAATCCCTCTTCACTCTTCCTTCACATACAGCCCTTTTTGGCCTAACACAATAGACACCCTCGTTCATACAACTTTATGTTAAAGACTAAGCAAACCCGACGAGCACTTCTACACGCCCTCTAGCATTATCTCTATATACTTTCTATCTATTTCATTGATTAGAAGTAGTTAAATTTCCCTTCATGTTTGTGCTGTACCTAGTTTACATAATCGAGTTTGCAGCTTTAATGCTCAAGATCTGCAATATGGCAAGCCTTTTCAACCCCACGTATTCTTTCACTTCATTTTTTCTCTTTATCATTAAAGGGCTGTGCAAACATCTCTTTAACAAGTAAGCACTGCCTAGCATTACTTTCAATATCACTCACAATGATCAGTCCTAAAAAACAAAACAAAACAAACAAACAAACAAAAATAAAAACCAACAAGAAGAATCTTAATGACCCAAGTTATTTCTTCCAGGTCATAAAAAACAGAAACACCAATAACTGAATCCAGAAGCACTTTCCCAGTCTGAGTCAGAAGGAAGCTCATCCACATTCTTAAGTGTTATTTTATTTTCCTTCCCTGTGAAGCACCCAAGCCATGGATAAAAACCGCATAGACGCTTTGCAGTGAGAGAAAACCACATGATAGCAAAAGCTAAAGGGAAAAAAAAAAACAAAAACCTTGTAATTAAGGAACGTTCACATTTCTGGACAGAATGTATTATCTCTACTCACACCAATGCCTTATTTTCACTCAACAATCACACTGAAATACAAATGCATTCCTTTTAACAGGATCACTCATCAACAGCAGAAAGAAATGCCAGGCACTTAGGACGATGCAATACATGAGTGAGAAAAACCAACATCTCCTCATTGCTGATGTGTTCATCAGCGTACTGTTGTGGTTCCAAGCCAACTATTAACTGCAGTAAGTGAGGAAGTGCCCCATGAGGCATTCATCAGTAATACAGGTTTGTAAAGAGAAATGCTTAAGGCATCTTGCAATGATGCAAGCTATACAGTAACTTACAGGCCGAGAACGCACTGCTGACAAAAACAAATAGAACAACCAGTACATATACTTACAGCAGGCAAAGGAACGCAGAGCAGCAGCCAACGCACATGTACTGCACGTACTGCACTGACACCTGAGTGTAAGAAACAGCAATGTTCAGGTGGAGCTCTCAGCGCCTCTCTCCCAGAACATCTTTCAGAACAGAATTTCCCTTTATGAAATAATATTTATCTGTAAACAGCTAAATACCTGCCGCCCTGCGTGCAAGGAGCTAACACAAATGCGCACAAGTAACCATTGTAACTCTAAGGACAGTTCTGCAAGTAGGTCACATAAGGCAAGCCCCCACCATGGCAATATACAAAAGGAAGAGAAGACAAAGTGCCTGCAGCATAACAGATCTAATATCCTTATAATTAAACTAGTCAGGAAACAAGGAACCAATTCTACGTGCAATGAGATTTTCAATGCAAAATGCTGGAGTAATATCTTCTCTCTGCCTTGAAGAACAGCAAAAACTGAGTTGCTGGGTGTCCTGGCTCTGAGTTACCAGACTTCACATCTGAATCTCACTCTTGCTTGCCAGGACAACTTCACCATGCCAGTGCTGGACATCAGGCCTCTCTCAGCCCAGGCAGTCACTCAAACACCACTAAATGCTACAGGCTGCCAAGGAGCACCAGATGGGAAACATTCCACAGAAAATGTTGTACTTAAGCTGATGGAGAGTGTTTATCTCAAATGTCTCTAACAATGTGCTCCACTTTGCTCAGCTCTGTTCTGCCTCTTTTGCCCACAGCTGTACCCAAACTCAATAACACATTGCCACACAAATCCCACACGCTGCCCAGCCACAACCAGGGGCTGCTGGGTAACAGGGCCCACGAGGCACTGCATACAGAACCGAATTCTGAGCAGCACAACAGCAGGACAGTGGCAGAAAAAAGAGTGAAGAAATTAAAAGACTTGGAGGAGCCCTGTGGTAGACCACATAATGTTTTTCCCCTATAGCTCAGCGGCACGAAAGCTTCCCCTTCATATCAATGATGGTTTATAGCAGAAGTTCTATTATCTGAACAAGAACACATGTCAAGCACTAAGAAGCAACCTGCCACTGACCATCTGCTCAATGTCACACACATCTCAGACCACCTCTCACCTCTCACCAGGCTTTTTTCCCACCAGGTTCTTCTGGTATTTTACACTCCCAACACTGTGATCTTTAACAACACAGTATCCTATTTTAGATGCACTCATTCACATTGCTAACTTCTGATTGAGTGCCTAAATGAAAGCAAAGAGTTTCTTCCTTCATCTGATACCTTTCTGTTCTCTCCTTCAAGGGAATGGTAACAGCCGTAACAGCTTCATCTCTCACCAGGTCCTAAGATCAGTACTTGTGAAACAAATTATGTCACTGATACGTTACTGATAAGGACTACTAAAAAACAGATCTGAGTATGAATGACAAAGTCGTGCAGAGCAAAAGTGACTGTGCAGCTGCTACCAAAAACAGGAATGACAGCAAGTGGAAAGTACAAATAACTTTGTTATTAAATGTAATAAATTAAGCACAGATACAGTTGAAAATACTGACAGATCTCATTAACTTTAAAAAAAACCAACACATTTATTAACAAGACTTCTAACTTGTGGGGAATGAAAGCTGCTCTCCATAATGCACATGGGGACCCGAGTGGCTTAGAAAAATCAGCTGTCATTTGCTGGCAAAACAACACAAGAATAGACAACAATAGTCCTAGCAAATTAGGAAGAGATTTTGCCAACAAAGAGATAGAATTCATTTCCAAAACCGCATTGATCTCCTTTTCAGTATATCAGGAGAATCAGATCTCCTGTATTCGTGCACGCTGCTATTCAGCACACTCAGATGTGCCAATCTTTAAATAATTCAGATGGTAAAAGGAATAAAAGGAAGAGAGGAGGGAGACAGCAATTTGAGCCAAGTGACAGGGACAGCACGTGAAGAAAATGCTGAGATATCCATTAATATCTTTTAAAAAATTAGGGTTTTAGGTTCCAAGCATCAAGTTCTGCTGTATTTCTCCAGCAAGAGCAACGGGAATATACAATTGCAAGCAGCTCTCAAACAAGAGCGTTACGACGAGCCCCACAGTTTCGGGCAGGTTTTGTGTAAGCTCAGCAGTAACTGAAGGCACAAAGTCCATTCCTCCAGCGGGCCGTGGAACCGCCGTGCCAACGTAACCACGGATGGAAGCAGCGCAGCAGAAGGCTGCCAAGAGCCGATAGAGCGCTTCTAAATCATAGCAACGCGTGTGCAAACAAAGACTCGGTAAGGACCACGTCGCAAAGATGACATCGGCTGTGCTTCCAGCTTTAACAAGATCGGCATTTACGCGGAAGGCACAGACCGACCCCAGGAGGCCCGTTATCCCCGCGCGAAGCTGGGCCGCAGCAGCCGACTGGAACCGCAGCCCCCGGGCGAGCCGCCGGAGGAAGGAGGCGCCAGGGCTGCGGTGCAACTCGACGTCCAGCCGCGGTTCCAGCAGCTCCACGCGCGCTCGCTGCACGCCTCGCCAGCCGCCTGCGGGCACGCGACGTGTCGGAGGCCGCACCGCTTCTGCCCCGGCACGGCGGTGCCGCATACGTGCGGGGCTCGCGCCCCCCTCCCCCGCAGCGCCGGGCCCGGCAACGGGCGCCGACGGGCGCCGGGTTTCCCCTGCCCCCGGCCGTGAAACCCCTCGGGGCAGCGCGCGCCTCACCTGGCGCCTCCGTTGCGGGCCGCGCGCCGCCGGCACAGTTTCCACAGCGACCGCCGCGGCGGGGAGTTCCGGGCGGCACCGCCCACGCGCAGCCGTGCTTCGAACCCGCCAATCGCCGCGCGCCCCCGCGCGTCCCCGAGGCGGGGCGGACGGCGGCACCAGGCTCTACGCGCACGCGCGGAGGCCGCCCGCGGCGGAAAGTCGCATCTTTCACAGCGGCCAATGGGAGCCGCTGGCGGGCGCAGGTGCCGCCAGATGGGCGGCGAGCCCGGCGGGTATGCACGAGGCCGGGGAAAGGCGCGGGGCGGCGCCTCTCGGTTGTGAGGTTACGTCCTCCTGCCTCCGCTGCCGGCAGGTAGGCGAAGTCGAACGCTGCTGCCGCTCACGGCGCCGCGCCTTACTCTGCTACCTTCATCCACCGCGCGTGGGCTGGGGGGCGATGAGAAATCAATCGAATAACGGTGGGCGGGCGGCGAGCGGCGCGGCGGCGAGCGCGTTCTTACAGAGCTGCTGGAGCGCGAGTTGCGTTACCGGCCTCGGCTCCGGTTACCAGAGGTTTCGCTGCTGCGCTCGAGGGGAAAGAATAGTCAGCAGTTACCTGCACTGCAGTCTGCTCTCCTTTTCCTCTTTGTCCCCGCAGCACCGCACCCACACCATCTCGGCCCAGCCGCCAGCCCGAATCCACGGCACAGCTCCGAAACAGCCACATCGGCCTAAGAAAGCAGGTCCTACTCGGAACTGTATTGAATATACAGTAATTCCTACTCATCCCTGATGGATTTCAATCCATGCACTAATTGAAGTTCTGTCCCCAAAAAACAGAGGAACGATGCCATTCATTCGGCCCACAGAGGTGAGCAGGCAGTAAAGAAGCACAGAGCAGCAGTGGATGGAAACCCAAATGAGCTGCTCGATTCCAAATGAGTTACACTGTGTCACAGACACGACTGATGCAGAACAAGATGACCTACCTTGTGATGGAGATGGGGGAATAGCCCGTGAACACCATGGCAAGTCAGACCAATTGAATGACTGCACTTACATCCCTGATGCTTTGAACTTACCCCTTTCTGAAGATAACAGAAATGCATCAAATTATGAGATTTATGTACAACCTGAAGGTGTATTTAACTATGCTAAAGGAACCATAGGAACAAGTGGAATTTCAGCTGGAATACCTGGAAGTGAACTGTCCTTTAAAAAGGACAGCTGGTGTGGTCAACCAGATGGCAGAGACCCCCCGAGTCACTCCAGTATGTCCCATGTCCTTCTGCGCCATTTCCCTACAGGAGAGTTAACGAGCAAATGGCAGTTGATTGAACATGAGACTATACCAGAAACATCCCTGACTGAAAGCATTGACGAAACCACAAACAAGCACACAGCTTGTGAATGCGTCCAAGGCCCTTCAACAGGTGAACAACAGGCAACCAAGTTTGAAGAGCACCACTTAGAAAAGCTGAAAGCAGTGAGTACTGAAGGGAAAATTCAGGATTTGCTAAATAAAAACACATTTGTTTCAAAAACCTCTACTTCTACTCTTGCTAAGCATGGGTGCAGACAAGAAGACTTTCTGTTGATTAATGAGTATGAAGATGCATGTATCTTTCAAAACACAGAGCAGACATACGTGTTTAAGAAATCAGTTCCATCTCATGAGCTCATAGCAGGCCAAGGTGAAGCTCAGAAGTGTCAGGAAGACAGTAATGAAGTCACTTCAGAAATGAAAGTACCAAAAATGAGTGAAAATAATAAATCCATTCCCACCATTAAAAGAACAACATCCTTCCCTACATTGCTAAGTAAATCAGTAACCATTAACAGCATTCTAGAAAATCAGAAATGTTTTGATTCCATTGAAGTCACAAATCAGGAAGGAACAAGCATTCCAGAATCGTCCCAACAACAAAAGGTAATTAGGATAATTTAATAAATTGAGAATTTCTTAAAACAAGAGTGATGTGTACCACTTCAGTCAGTAATCACTTCCACAAAGTTCTGTGGGATATAATCTCTATGGAGATTTCATTACCAAATTTATGATGCTCTGTCATGTTATTCCTGACAGCAAAGCATTGCAGTAAATCACCAGGAAATCCACTATAAGCAGTTAATTCCAGTATTATATGAAAATGTTCTCATTCACTAAAAATAATATAAATGGGAATTTCTTAAAATATTTTTAATCCTGTGCCTGTTTTTACAATTAAGACTTACACTCTTCAGCTATTCAGGCCAGCATTCATTGAAAGGTCAGGATTTTTTTGTTTTGTTTTTGAAGGTTTTGCTCTATAATAAGATTTGTCTTACAGCAAATTTTAAGATTTCTCTTACAGTAGTAACTTCCTGTTAAGATTTGTTGGTAATTAGATAATCACTTCTTACTGTCATGCCCTGCCACTGAGTTCACTCCAGAGCTAAACAGATGCTTAAGTCCTTTCCTAGGCTTATCCCTTCATAAACTGTTCAGGATGGAACAACTTCTAATACCTTTCCCTATAACTTCTTGATGGTACATTGAAATGTGAACACAGCTTGCTGACATCAAGAATCATACTGATTTTCTGAGATACAATCAGATACAGAAGTCCTCTAAAGAAACCTAAATTCATTCTTATTTCTATGACTCCAAATAATCACCAGAACTTTTCTGTCACCTTTATAATATACTTCCCCTTTACACAAATTGTCTAAATACAGATTCATAACCCAAGTTGCATATTTCAGTATATACACTATGAGATACACAAACCAAAGTCGAAGCAAATTACATGATACAGTTATAACCAACTTCCCATTAACTTTAGAAAGTAGTCCTATGCATTTCCAAACTTTTTATTGTGCAGAGCATTCTGCATGCTTCTTCCTCAAACCAAGATTCTCCCTTTGACAGGTACCACCTCAGTCAGGTTTTCCAAATGCAGGATTTGCCATTTACTCAGGAGACGTTGGAACAGCCCCTGAAGCCTCTACAGCAGACACTTCTGTCCTACAGCCTTCACATGGTTTGTCTGAACCAAGTAAGTGCAAATACCTAACTCATTTCAAGTAAATCAATAGCACTTTTGGGTAGAAGTTTTGGAAAGAAGTCCAACTAATACATTTTCTCTTACATTACATAGGATTGCCATGTGGGAAAACAGCATCTGCATTTCCAACAACTCACACAGTAGAACTGTGCAGTCTAAATGCTTCTAATTCACTGCCCAAAATAACCCAAGGAGAGATGATGTCTCAAATACTAAAGGAACAGACAGATCAACTAAAAATTAAAGTAAGGAGCTCTGTTTCAGTATCTATTTTGCATTGATTCTTTAGTTTTATGGTAACTTGGCATGTTTGCTTTTAAAAAACAACATCTAAGTCTACTATTTTCTCTTGAAGGTGGAAGACTTCTCTAAACACGTGACCAAGGAGACATTCCTCTTACAAGATGATTATCTGGTAAACTAATGTCTTTCCAGTTACCTGAAGTGTACTTTAATTGGCTAGACTTGAGATTTTCTGGCAATACACTCAGTGTTTTTCTCAAACAGGCATTTGAAAATAATTTGTTCTGAATCTCAGACTTAAACTGAGGTTAAGAAGAAGAATAAAGGAGCTCAGTAAGTGGCTCAGTTCTTTAAAATTAAAGACTGCAGTTAGGAAGTAGTTAGTGAAAGGCCTTAAATTGGCATAGAAATCATTAATTGTGATTTGTAGGGTAGTGTGTCTGAAGGGTTATTTAGTATTTTACCTCTAAATGACCAAGCAGCACAGCGTACTGATAGGTATAGTAGATACAATTCAGAGCAGCAGCAGAATTCTTACTAATATCACTGCAAATATCATCTGTCTTACATAGCATATGTAGATATTACAATATCTTGTTAATGATAACATCATTTACTGTTGAACTCTCTGTTATTGGTGAAGGCATTAAATCAACTGAAAAGATACCTTGAAGCCTTGGAAAGGAATTATTTAACTGCTAGAGAGGAGCACCGTAACTTACAGCTGCAGTACTACAAGGACAAGTCTGTCAACATTGGAGAATTTGACCCCAAAAGGTTTGAAGATAAATGCTAAGTACTTCATCAGTGTATTTTCCACATTTTGGAGCATCTAACCACTATTACTTTATCAGTCACACTTCTCAGAGGTGAAAACATTTTAATATCACACAGGGTAAGCTCGAAGTTACTTGGCCAAAATTCATCTCATGCTTTAAATATCCTTGTTATAATAATGGTAGCTATTTGACTAATTCAAGCATTTAAAAGGGACTCCGTGAACTCCATTTCTTTCTTCCCTCTATGAACTGTATATTGCAATGCCAAATACAGTCATCATAGTAAGAAATAGAAGTTTCACTAGCTGTGTATTGTGATTGATTTTAGAAAGGTAGAAGGAGAAATATTTAGACTTGGCACGATGCTTGAAGACATCAAAGAACTAGCAGATGACAGCAGGCACAGATGGGCTCCTTCACCCAGTTCCTGTGGATCTGCCCATTCATCATATTCTCTTTGGGAGGTAACTGAGTCTTATCATTTAAAGACTGCATTATTTCATTTTATTCAAGAAAAACAGGGTGGTTATCACATATTCTCCTCTAACATTTGTAAGACCATGATGCTTTTGAATAGCATGTTACTTCAAGAAATTTTTTTTTCCATGAAATTGTAGCTTAATTTTTCATTAACTGTAAAAAAAACTTTAGTATGAACACAGCTGCACTGAGTAATCTAAGTGCTAGCTTCAAAAACATTCATTTCTGAGTAAGAAAATGAGCAATTATTTTCAGTTTTACAGAGCTTTCTGGTTTTGAAAATTCATTATTATAATTCAGCTGGAAGAACGATTACTTTGTCCAAGATTCTTTAACTGCAGAACTGCTGGAAGACTGAACATTCTGCTACAGAAAACTGAGTTTACTGTTAAATATAGTAATATTTTGTCCTGGATCATAAATACATGGAAAAAATTGAATTAGTTCTCCACGAAACAAAAGATAAATATCTTCATATGCTTTCATTCTCCATATTTTAGAAGTCATTTTTCTCTGCATCTCAAGTAAAAGATAATTAGAAAACGCAGGCTGGTACAAGTCATCTACTTGAAATACCCTGACTGAAAACTGCTATCCTGGGGTTACTTTATACAGAGCTCAGTACTTTCAAGTATTGCTGATTCCCCTGAAGAAAATACATTTCTTAGCAAGAACAATGAAGGAGAAAATACAAGCCAGACAAGTTCCGTAACTCCACAGAGAAATGCCCACTTCTCTTTGCAGTGTGACAGATGCAATCTTCGTATTCACACGTAAGCATAAAACTTACACAACTACTGGAATTATCACAAAAAATGGTACTGCAATCATTTGCTGAGTACAGAAAGTGAGGGTGCCTGGAATATCTGAAAGCAGGTAGAATGCTCACAGACTCAGCTTCTCAGAAAACCCTTAAAACCTCCTTCCAGGCTGGCACTCCTACTCCAAAGCCAAAACACTACTGCCATCATTTTGCTAAGAGTCAAATCATACCTCTGTATAAAATTGATTGCAACCGCACTGATTCAAGATATGAGTGACTAGATACAACACAGTACCAGTGCAAAATGTTTGTTTACATTTGTGTAGTATTTTTAACTAAAAAGAGTGCAGATGTTTACATAATTAACCATCAAAACTTCAAACAACTCTAGAGTATCTGTACTCCCTTGCACGTATTTTATGAGATCAGATCAAATGTTTTTTTCTTCACCAATTAAGGTTACAGAAGAGAGCCGAATCAACTTATGGGAAAGAAATGGATCCTCTGGGAAAAAGTTGTCTGCTAGCAAGCAAGTATTCTTCAAATGAAATGGTATGAGAAGTTTTCATGTTCATTCTAATTTAGATGAACATAATAATATTCTGAAATAATAATATATAATATAGTATCATATCATATATTTATGTAATATGAAAACATCATATTTTCCCATTCAGTTTTTGCACAACATGAAAGCTCACCTTTTGAGGTACTACAGTTGTATAACTTGTATTGATTTTGAAAGAAAAATTGAAGGCACACTGAATATTTTTTGAACTATGTGATGATTAGCTGTGTTTATTAGCCTGCTTTTATTACTAGTTCAGAAGGCAACAACATACAGGCAATTGCTTGCCTACAAAACCTTTCAATTTGAAGGCAATAACAGAAGTAGATAATGTGTTAACCTTCTTCAACACTACATGACAATATCTTGTATTCCAACTTTACAGGTTAAGAAGTATTGATAAGTTGTCCAATTTCCTTTACCATTAGAATGGTAACAGATCAAACTGTAGATTTGATGGCAACTAGACAACTAGAAGCTGTACAGATTTAATGTACACTTGATACTGCTGTTCACACTGTGTGATGAGTACACAGTAATATAAACAAAACATCAGTTTGTTTTACCGTCTGTGCACAACAGAGATTCTTTTCACCTGAAGGAAAATATGAGGCGGAAGGTCTTGGATTCCATACTCAGGGTACATTCAGTCAGAAAGATAGTGCCAGTGAAGAGAGTATGAAAGGGTAAGCATATTAAATGTTTTGGCTAGGTACAGACACTTCTCTTCAGCTAAATGAACTGATACATGCATGTGCAGTGTGCCTCTATTCTGGACTCTGCTCACTACACTGAAAATTCTTCTGATATGTATGAAATGCAAGGATGATCTGTTTTCTGAATCATTACCAGTTAATCACATATGGTATGAGATATATCAGACCACTGGAGAATGGGAAAAACACCCCTCTTTTTTTAAAGACAGGATTATTTTCCGTATTGTAGTAGCTCATCTAAGTGGTATAAAACTTAAATAACACACGCTTACTTTAATAAAGCTTGGAAATAAGTTTACTCTTTTTTCAGTGATGGATGACCACAAAACATTCAAGCAACAACAATAATAACCTCAAATATTTGTAATGAACTAATCTGGTAGACTTGAAAGGAGAGCATATTAGTACTTCCATATATATTTCAAGTGCAAGGGTCAATCTGTCAAGTTTCATTTACAGATTCATCAAGGTGCTAAAATAGTTCCATATGGCTTAGTTGGGCTTTAGAACTTCCCGCAAATCAAGTCTCCATCCAAAGTCAGATCTCATAACAACATTCAGTGCACAACATAATCATCATCACGTTAGTATGCTGAAAGAAGGCAAGCATGGGAGAAAAACGCTGACGGACTATTTACTGAATAAATACTAATATCTATCTAATAAAATTCACCTAGCTTGCTTCCTTCTCCCTGTCATTTAAGGAATGCTCAATCTTCCAGTCTGTTTCCATGAGTACATAAGAAAAGCTCGCCAATAAATTTGCTGACACTACATTCCCTACAGTGAAAACATGTATATAAAATACTGCAAACAATGATCCTTACTCCTGTTTTGACGGAAAGTACATCACAAGTATTCCTCTAATTCCCCAAAGGCTGCAAAACTGAAACCTTAACAGCTCAGTTACAAAGAAACCATATCATCCTTACCAGTGATAATATTTTGATACAGCGTGTGTAAGCATCTCTAAATACACAGAATTTTATACTCCATTGTTTCTCAGTAAGGTGTTTATTATTTTAAAATAAAATTATTTTAAGGTGTGCTGAACAGCTCTGATAAGGCGGAGTCTTTCTGTCAGAACGTATCCTTTAACAAAGTCATTGTTTTGTGATTATTTAAGTTTCCACTTGACACCTTTTTGGGTTGATGAAAAGATAAGAGTTCTTTCTATAGTAGATCTATTTTCTTCTCAGTTAAGTGGCCAAACACTAATACATCGGTAAGGCTTATCATAAAGATATTATAATCTAACTGAAATATCATTCTGTTTTCATGCTCAAAGAAATAACATAATGGAAAGGAAAACTGGAACACATACAATCTTCATTCTAAGAAAACCGACCGATTTATCAGATAAAAATCTGAGTAAGTAGCAATGGGACACCAACATCAGAACTGTGTTTATACCTACTATCCAGTCTTGTTAAACAATCCACTCCTGTTACACCTAAGCACCATGAAAATTATTTTGGAATTCCAACACATGTACTATGCTAAGCAGTAACAAGATACTAAGAATAAAAAGGAGACCATAAAGGAGATCACATGGAACCCACTTAGCCACTCACTGGCCTTAGTGGCAGACAAGCTACAATGAAATTAGCAGCAAAATACAAGCAAAAGAGGTTTTGGTTAGAATCAGATACTACAACAGTTCACCCCTGAGAGGATGTATTATCTCCATCCTCAGAGATACTGAAAACTTAACAGAGGTGTCCTAAGCTACTTGATATAGGTTGGTCCTGCTTTGAGGAGAGATTGGACCAGACCATCTCCAGAAATACTTCCCAAATGGAATTACTCTATAATTCTAACCCATCTTTTTAGATGCTTTTTTGAAGACTAACGTCTTCCAAAGCATAATACTGACATGCACGCTGTGCTTTGATAGTGCTTTTTCTCCTTATCAGATGCATTTATATCATATGCTAGAAGACCTGAAATCTGGAGTCTTAACATGAAGTTTCAATATCCACTTTCAGTTTCAGGATACATCTTTCTTATTCTGCATAAAAACTAAATGAAAGGTTTGCCCAAACCTCTGTTCCGCTCAGGATGGAGACAAAAGACTGTATGTGTTCTCCTTCCTCAGGACAGTTTCTAACAACATGATTTCACCTAATCCAAACTAGAGCCCTCACTGGCTATTTGTTAGCTGTCAAATCATTGAAGATCCCAGTTCTTGGAGATTCACTAAGAATCTCTAGACATTTGTTTCTCTTACAGCAACTTCACTTTTCCTTTGCAGAATACTCCAAAGCTGTTAATATTCAACAACCTAGAAAAGTAGTATGAAGTGTCTTATATATAAGTTTGAATACACGTGGTTTGCTTATGCTTTGGGCCTACCTTTCATCCTTGATTTCTCGTGGCGTCCTTTCCCTGAATATAATACAGTGGGCCTTTTATTCTTAGCACCGATTTGGTTAGTGTGTAAAACAGCTGCTATCCCAGCTTCTAACATGTTCTTAGGCTGCCTTGCTTGTATAATACTTCAACTTTTGGCCATTTGAACCTGCAGAGCTAAAACCTAAGGACAGGAAAAGGGGAGCATTTCATTGTTTTTGTTTTGTTGTTGTATTGTTTCTTGTTTGTTTGTTTGTTTTTTATAAACACTTGTAGTACTGAAAAGAACAGTAAAAAGTGCATTTGAGGCTTACAGGTAGAGCTGAAAGCCATTCTTAACAGCTCAGACACACCTGTAAAATGAATGGAAAAGTACTTCAAACTGCAGAACTCTAACTGACTGTGAAGGCCTTGGAAATTATTTAGCTGAAGTTCAATAATGACTTAAAACTAGAAATCTTGGCTTGTGTATTTTCAGATATTTTTCATGTGTTTTGGGATTTTAGACAATGATTCAGAAGCCATCTCAGCCTACCATTCTTATGGTTCACAAAGCGATGAATTTATGAAATGTCAAAGTCACCAAATACTCCATGCAAAGCTGCATAGAGAGAGAAAAGGTATAATGATTTCAAAAATACCCAAATCGACACCAAGTTTTCTTCTTTGCACTGTTCCAATTGTTCAGTGATTTGTCTTTGTTTCAGGATTTAAATGCAGATGCTCCAGAGAAAGCCAAAATCCATTTAAACTCAGGAACTACAAGGAATCTGTTCAGTCTTGCACTCCACGTAGAAATAAAAACTCTGGTTCAACTTGTAAGTATGACACATTACTGAAATAATTTTCAATTACGAGTCAAATTCTCAAAAGCAAAAAAAGCTATATTGTGCATGTATCAGGCTAAATTCCATTTAGTACGAGCAAGTCACAGCACTGCAGCTGAACTGTAAATGAGTACAGATCCTGGGCTGAAACGAGCAAATCCAGCATTTACACACCTACCTGAGTTTAATTCCCTATGCACAACAACTACCACATCTGCACTGCTCTTTGACAAGTCCCATATTTCACTGTAAACAGTATCACCTCCAGTTATCCAGTGCCACATAGAAGAATATTAAAACTGGCCATAATTACACCAACCTTCTCATTCCTGGTGGTACATACTAGAAACAAGTATTAAAAGGGAATACCTGCTCAGCTCTGCGCTGTGTGACATACAGCAAAGTCAAGGATTGCCTGGTTTTTTAAACATATTGAACATGTAGTTTTTAAAGACACTTCTCTCTTAGACTCCTTGTACTGTAGGAATTAATTGAAGGTAGATCAACTGAATTAATCTACTGTTCAGCAGCGAGCAGAAAGTACAGGTTAGCTATTTCTCTATTAAGACAAAAAAACATTGCATCAAAGTGGCACTTACATCATTATTGGGACTGATGTCCTAATAATGCCATTATGCAACACTTTCTTCCTAGGGCCTTTCACTGTTAAGAAATGTAATACAATTCTATACATCACTCGTTCAAGAGCTAAACTCAACCCAAAAAGGGAACACAAAGAAATATTTTAGTCTCATTTAGATAAATCCTTAATATGTTCAGATTTTTGTTCAGTATCCTTGTGAAATTAAGTTTTACACTGCTCAGAGAAAGATGCTAAATGTATACAACATTCCTCTTTTCTTTATTTCTACACATGGCTTCAATGTCGTAAGCTTATTCGCAGAAGAGAATCCCCAGTCAAAAGGCTCAAACAAATCAACAGCCACCTGAACCTGTCAGCAGGCTTTATGAAAGGTAAGCTACAACAACTGCATGTGTGCATGCATGATAACAAGAAATGCCATTATTAAAGGTTCAGCACTGAAAGTCATCATATCATAAGCAGGGGCAATGGCTTACCTTCTGTAGAGTGTGCTACGCATTACAATTTGACTCAGTAATGAAATACCATCATGTAAATAATGACCTGAGTAGTTCTTCTATCTTTGTAGTTTAATGAATCAAGCTTCAGCTGACATACATACTTCTCCATCTTGAGAAAAAGTAATTCTTAATTCTTATTATATAACCACTTTCCCATTTACAGATCCCTAGAATAATAAAAACCTCTACAATATGTCCAAGTGCTACATTTAATAATCCTTAACATACAATTATTCATAGAATCTGAGAAATAAAATGGATTCTTCACCATAGCAGACTACACGAACTGAAACAAATTCTGTGACCATAAGCTTTACCAGCTTTATCAAATAACAGTAATTTCCTGCAAGTATGGTGGCCGCACTTGAGAATCTGTGGCACAGACTACTCAGAGAAGTTACAGCACCAAGAAAATGATGTTTTTTGAGAGATTTCCTGACTGCATTCTAGAATCTATTTTGTTTTACTGCAATACAGATTATAATCAGCTGCAATTTTATAATTTAGTCACTGTAAAACAGACTTGAAAATACAGGTTATCAAAATTATCAAATTTACAGTTTGAAAATACCTTGGCTTATCAAGTTGTGTATTTCACTACCTATTACATTTAGACCAAATTTTGAGGCTGATAAAAGCTTGCATTCAAACACAGATGATCAAATAATCCTTTTGCATTAATGCTTACCCAGGAAGAAGCCTGCCCGAAACACATCCGCGATCATCAGAAACAGAACTGCCAAGGACTTCAACATAAACGTAAGACTTGAGAGTGAAAATTAGAAACCCTACAACTAATCAACAAAATACATACCCCCATATCATGGCACTGTTGCTCATCCCCCTTCTTAGCACACTGATTATCTCAGTCTAAGTTTGTCTAGTCCACTATGGGACAGGATGAGGAAGTGAGAAAGTTTTCAGTGCCACTTCAAAATCAGATATAATGCACTACATTCATATGAAGCTTAGTATAAGGTATTAAGTGAATACGGAAAATCATTTTAGCATTGCGTATGCAGTATAGTAATAAATTTTTGTATATTAACACATTGCGTGTTAATACACACATGTATATAACACACTGTGTTTCTCAAATGTGAACAATTGCAGAATCTGTAGGTTAAACTGCCTTAACAGCTCTGAACCATCCTTACTCTCCCTCCATTACAAGAGCTTTTTGTCCTGTGGTTTCATTTCAACACTGCAGGATTACACAAAGAGAAATAAGTAACAAATGCTTCAACTTAAATCCTTGAGTAGCCTTCAAATACGTTTTACTTCTCAACGTGTATTCCAAGTAGGTATGCTGAAAAAGCTACAGAGAACCTTAACTACACAGCACTTCCTTTTCTATACCTACCTCAGCAAAGCTGTATTTTACTGCTTCCAACAGATTTTAAATTCTACTCTGGATCATGCAATACAGACAGCAAACAGTTTGAAGAAAGCTACAGAAAAAATGGTGCAAGCAATTTCTGAAGATCTAGCTAAAGCTAGAAGAAAACAGCTTTAACCATCTAGTTTCAGATGCTACATTTTTTTGCTGGTTATAAATAATAAACATTTCTACAAATATAAAATGACAGAGATTAGAAAATCAGCTAGCTTTAGTTCTATGATTGTCAGTACTAACTGGTACATCTGGTATTCCACATGTTTATACTCAGTGCCTGAACTAGAAAATGAATTGCTTATCTACTGAAGTCTTTGATGTTTTGGCTGGCCCCTGTTATTACTTACAACTGCCTTTCCTAAGCATTCGTTAGGCATCCATTTTAGCTTCATAAAAACTGGCTTATCAAGCAAAGTTAGTTTTTTTTTAAAATTTCTATTTCCCTCCACCCCCAAAGAGCAGAATGAGTTTCATTCACTCCAACGTACATTTGCATTTCGCACTTGAAAAGTAGCTGCTTGATCACACCAACAGATAGAAGCAGGATCTGCAGCTGCAAGCGGGATGCTAGTATATCGAGTCATATTTAAAGCATATAATTATTTCTGGAGTGCCCTACATTGAGAGTGTTTTGTTTAAGAGAGATCCTTGCATGTCTCAGAAACTGAGTAATGCCATTGGTTGTTTACCTGTTCCTAACAGTTGAACTGTTGCTTCACTCACATGTCCTCACCTTGTCTGATATATCTGACTGAGATTTCTAGCTGATGATGTAGGCCACAGAATTTTTAAAAACCGTTCTATGATTTTTCTAATGAAATCCATTTAACTGTAGCAATTAAAAGCAAGCAGACAGGTAACAGCTGTGCACGTATCAGATATGCTATTCACTGAAGCAAATCCAAAATATATCATAAAATCATTTGAATTAGAAGGGACCTTTAAAGATCATCTAGTCCAACTCTCCTGAGAGTGAAGGCATACCCACAGTTCCATCAGGTTTTCAGCGCCCACTGCAGCCTGACCTTCAACATCCCGAGGACAAGGCATCCACCACTTCTCAGGGCAACGTGTTCCAACACTTCACTACCCATACTGTAAAGGACTTTTTTCTTACATCTAAATCCTCGCTTCTTTAGTTTGAAACCATTTCCCCCATCCTGTCACAACAGATTCTGCTAAAGAATCTGTCCCCTTCTTTTTTCCAGCCCTGCTTTACTGAAAGGCCACTACCAGGCCTCTCTTCTCCGGGCTGAACAGCCTCCAATCTCAGCCTGATTTCCTCTCACTTGGACAAAGTCCAGATGCTGAATAGGGAGACTTAGTTTAGCATTAGCAATTAATATTTCTTTAACTCTATGCAATAAATCAATGTAAATAAAATGGGTTTTCTACAACTTGTCAGTTTGGTCCTTAAGTAGGACATTCTGATATTATTTTGTTCTGCTTTTATTGCTTTTACATTCCCCCTTTTTTAAAATTAAAAAACTGCTTTAAAGGAGGAAAAAGAAAAAAAAACACAACAATCTGCACCTTTTAATTAACTCTGAATGAACTTAACTAGCAAATACATTCTCTAACCCACTAGTTAGCCCGAGGACAACAAACCAAATCTTTTTGCAAAACCAGAAGTGAATACCTTTACAGCCTGGCGAAAACGTATATTGAAACGTAAGTCATATGTTAGGTCACATTATGACACTTCTCATTTAACAAATTGGTGTATCAGTGCATCTCAATACAGTATTATCCCTTTAAAAGGTTATTAAATTTGCACTTAACCTTTTAATACAAACAAGCATTAGCAGTATTACAGAATACAATTTATTTGATCCACTTCAACACAAACATATACAGACAAAGAAGAGAACAGTAAATTCTCTGAATAGATCATGTTGTGATGATAGTTTGCTCCTTTATTAAAAAAAAAAAAATCAAGTACTGACAAAGAGTAACCATCTACTTTCCCTTCTTTTCCTCTTCTCTCTTCCCCCTCTCCCCGAGAAATTTAAGCTTCGTTAATTTTTTTTTTTTTTTTTTTTTTAACATTGGGCACCAGTAGAATACTGTCATAGGGAATTTTGTTTCTTAAATAGATGGACTATGTAGACACAAAAAAGGAGCTTATAAGAAATTGTATTTGAGAAGCTTTAGAAATAATTCCTGCACATACTTGAATACACAGCGCAGTTCAGTCCACAATTAACTGCATTTATCCAAAGCTATTTAATTGAAATCAGAACTGGTTGATATGTCCATGATTATATTTCTACCTTACCCACTACCATCTGAAAAAAAAAAAAAAAAAAAATATTTTAACAATGACATGCAGTTAATGTTTCCAGTGAGTTATTTTACAGAGACAACATCAGAGACATCGCCTTTAAGTGCCTGGAGCCTTTTTAATTCAGCCAACTCTTAGAAAAATGCTTCACAGTTTTCAAAAACAATTACAGTTGATATATAATCTGAATAACTTTCATATAATTTATTAGGAATGAATGTAACCTTCTCAAAAAGCACACCCTGATTATTTTTTCCCCTTCTGCCTTCTACTCCCCCCCAAAAAAAGCAGCAACTTCATAATTTAAAGTGACATTCAATTAGTCAGAAACATACTGTGTCCCACTACACTGGAAGAGCCAGCAGTGTGAGAATATGTACATGTTCTACACTGTTTGATGCCCAAAGCATCACGCCCATTCCTACTCATCCTTAATGCAGACTGTATCCTTTGGTTTATTAAGGCTCTTGACTTCATCCAGTAGTCTTCTAGGAGTCAAAACATGTGTAGAACCTGACAAAACAGCAATTTCAGTCTGATGCAGGTATGATTTACAATCATTCCCTCTTAAAAAATATATAGTAAAAACCACAGCTTTGTAACAAATACATACATAGCTAAATATCATACACACAAATATATACATATAAGTATCAGCTAAAAGATAATACACTTGTGTTTTTTTCTGTACCTGGTCATCAGAAAAGTACAACAGTTCAAAATGATTTTTGTGTGTCATATAAAGCATCATAACAATTAAACTGTCATGATTAGGTAGCATCTCTCTTCCACACACCAAAGGTATTGAGAAGAAAGCCATGTCTCTTGACACTCTGCCCCTTGCCCTTAAATGAAGCCTGCCAGTATTTCGGGACCAGGAGAGACTGGAGAAGCGAAGAGGGGGTGGCAAAGACTGCAAACTTACAACTCTTAGTTTGGACACCAGTTTCAAGTCTCTACTCTGAGTGGTTTGAACCACTGGCTTTAACCTGCTCCCTCCCCCCAGCTCTATCCAACAGACTGCAGGAAATCTGCCCATTCTGTCAGAGGGAGAGTTAGTGACAGGCTTTCTCCTAAAAAAAAAAAATCAATAAAATACCTGCACTACATTATCACGAACAGTAGTTTTACATAGAAACATCACAAATTATGCTTTTATTAACCAACGTTTTCCTGAAACTTTTACAGCAAATTCTAAATTCAGAACAGCAAACAAAATTCATACTACTGAAGAGCTCATAACTGTCACTTCTGTTCTTATGGAGAATTAGCTTCTACCTTGAAGGGTCACTCTCCAGTTCTAAAGGGAATCCTTAACTACTTAAGGTTAGGGCTGTCTTAACAGTTTTAATGGTGTCAATCTAAGCAGTCTAGTAATCCTTAAAATTATAATTCAGAATAGTGTAAGGCTTTCACTTTGAAGTAGGCAGCATAGGAACTTGGCAATTATTACTTTACCTCAGACAGCAGGATCACAAGCAAAACTATAAGAGGAGCTTCTTCACAGAAAGAAAAATGGTGCTGAATTTAATGCCTCACATTACAGTGGAAAAGCTATACACTACATACAGTTCTGGAAACAACTCTCAGATGAGGAAACTGCCTTGTCATTCTACATGCTCATTATCCTGGATTTCCAGTTCCAAGTCAAAAGTAGGACCAGTGTTAAACCTTCCTCAACAGCCATCAGTGATAATAGAAATCCAACTCTCTTCAGTTGTTGATAGCAGATTCTATAGCTCAGCATCAAGGCTGTCACTGCTTTATGGAAGAGTATTTTTACCTATGCTTTGGTAGATAGAGTAAATCCTTCTTGGCACTTAACTTGGTTGCCAAAATATAGTCTTCACAAGCAATTTAGGATGTTTTGGATGATCCGGCATCCGGAAAACTGCTGCCACTACACATGGTTATAGGTCTATAAGGTTCTGTATGTGGGAATTCTGATACACAGCACACCCCAATATTTTCATACTTACATATAAACAGCATTGCAATATAAATGATTACTTGCCCTGGAGAACAGCAACTGATAGAAAAAGCACTTGCTGCCTCACAAGTAGTAACAGATTATTACTCCAGCTAGTGACCCATGCATTAACAATACTAGGAAATCCTAAAAGGATTAGGGAGATTGCTAGTTGTCAGGGAAAAACCTGTTAATGTTTTTTTTATGTAAGTTACCCAAAGTATCCATGACAAAACTCAAAAAGTTCACAAAATGGACTAAGTAAACTACACTTGAGAAAGCTTTTTTGTTCTACTTTAGTGTTGGTTTTTTGTTTTTTTTTTTTGTTTTTTTTTTTTTTTTAAACAGAGGATAAAAGTTTCTCCCTCCAACGTGAAGCAATTCATTTTGAATAACTTCACCAGCTTTCCTACTACTAACACAAGTAACTGCAGTAATATGCAAGTTCAGCTGTATAAGTCCATTTAATCATTTTTGCTATACATCAGGCTACAATACCATCATAATATATTTCCTCTGATAATTCATGATGATTTTTCCATAGTTTTCAAAAATAATTTACCCATAATAATTTATCCATTTTTATTGTGAAAGAAAAACCCGATCTTCAATCACTCTAGATAGAAGTAACTTCTTAGTTTAAATGTCTAGTTTAAAATAATATATTGGCTGTAGCATTACTTAGCAGAATCAACTTCCAGTGGAGAAAAAAACTCTTCTGTTTTTAACAAGAAAGTATTTCACGACTACATACTTGTGCTTGAAGTAAATCACTGCTTACCACCCCTCCCCTTCCCCAAGCTAGGCTTACCAATGATAACTTCACAAGACTTGAAGGCTTGAGAAACTTCATAAGCGCAGCGCATC